AAATTGGTGTTTTTTTTGTTTATTGGTTGCCTGCAGTGGATGTGTGTGAGGTTGGCCTCCCGAATTTGTCCGATAAATTCGAAAAATGTGTCATTATTTTGCAAATTAATTGAAAATAATTACAAATTAGTTTTCAGAATTTGCTAATCGATACTTCATTTTTGGCGAATTGTACAAGTTTTTTGGAAAACTTGTTTTTATGTCATACTCGAATCAATAAATCAATAAAATCAATTAAATCAATCTATTGAAGTGAAATCAATTAATACTTTATTCATAAGCAAAAAAATTATTTCACAAGAGCGTTTAATCACATTCACATAGTCCAGATACTTGGTTCCATAGATTCCACAATCATGTAATTGCATATTTTGTGTAACCACAATAGTATTATATACTATAGTATTTTTAAGAAAAGACATTCAACTTATCCTTATTAACCATTTTGTGTTATTATGTTTGATATTATAGAGCAAAACTTCTAAAAAACATTATAGGAATATAGGATTAGTATTATTTATCATACGGGTATAAATTATATGATTTTAGTAAAAAATTGATTGAGCAATAAGATTTGATTTGATTATTATTTTATTTCTGAAAACCCCTCTTCTTCAACTATCAAATTTCGTTTTATTATTTAAATTTAGTCTATTCTAATTTAATACATTAAAAAACGAAATTAAATACATTCAATATTTATAAAAATGTATAAATATTATTGTAGCTTTCAATATTTAGGTAATATAGGCTACATCGCGACCTCAAAATTTCTAGACGAGCCTCCAGTCAGATCACGAGAATCCCAGTCGGGTGGACCATGTGCCGTGTCCGCCCAAGGACACTCCCCCCCGAGAGGAGCTTCAGTTGTCAGACCTTTGGTAACAATTCGAGGAGTAATACAGCCCCTGACAGGACCGGAGCCTATTAGAGTTGCGGTGATAAGAATCATTCAATGAAGGACTGCAATGCGGCTGAGGATAACTGTCTGGCATGCCAAATGGCAGGTCTTCCCAAGATGAGCCACAAGCCAGGATTCGGTGCCTTTGGTGCGAGGAAGTTGTCCACCGCACCAAAGACTCCATCCGATGATTAACTTTCTGCAAGTTAATTTGAACGGGTGCTGGGCCGCTGAGCAGCTCATGATGCAGACCGCCGTTGAAGTCGAAGCTGACGTCCTTATTATGAGTGAGCCCTATACCCACCACGGCCGCGAAGACAAGTGATGCTTCAGCAAGACCGTGGTGGCAACTACCCAGCGAACGGCTCTCACCCATGAAGGACAGGGGTCCGGCGACGGGTTTGTCTGGATGTCCTTCCATGAGTTAACAGTTGTCAGCTGTTAGCTGGTCTATGCAGGAATTTTCACACTTCTTGGTGGATCTGGAGACTGCCATCCACGCTTGAAGAAATGTGAAAATTGTGCCAGCAGGGGACTTCAATGCGTGGAATGTAGAGTGGGGATCGAGAGTCAATAACCCGAGATGTGGTCTCTTGTCCGATCTCGCCACCAGCCTCGGACTGACCTTGGCCAATACTAGAACGACCCCATTTTCATGAGAGGAGTTGCCAAATCTATAATCGATGTTACATTTTATAAAGGTGTAGAGCTTGAGGGATGGCAGGTCATCGAGGCAGACTCGTATACGTCGGCTTCAATAGGCCCACGCTGCAGCAGGTCCTTGCACGCCCAGCACAGCCACCGAACACACATTAGGGCTGGTCAGTCAAACAATAGGATGGTGAGTCTTTGTGTCACTATCTTAATGCCAACCAACCCGAAATTGTTGCAGGTGTAGCATATACCGGAAAAACCCTAGCTTCGTCCAAAGCTCTGAACGACTACCTTGTAGAATGTAGATGCATGCGAGGCTTGCATGCCAATTAGGAGACCAGGCCCTCCGGCAAGCGCCACGTCCACTGGTGGTCCGCAGATATCGCGGAGATACGTTACGCGTGCCTGACACTCCGCAGGCAATACTAAGCGTTCCTTAGGAGAGCTGGCCCATTCGGGGTCCCGGAGGCCAGACTGAGCTTTGTCACAGCCAGGAGGAACTTCCGCTCTAAGATCAGAGATGCTAAAAAGAAATGCTGGTCTGACCTCTGCTCCGAGGTGGACACCGATTCCTGGGGCAAGTCGTACAAGATTGTAATGAAGAGATTGGGCATCCGCAAACCAGGCTCTGACTCAAAAGGAAAGGAGGCTGAGATCGCAGACCACCTGTTCCCCATAACCCTGATAACCAACTGGGAAGAGGCTCCCTCTCCGGCTGTGCATAACTTATTCGAGGCATTCGACGCCGATACAAATGAGCTGGAGTTCACGAGAGTCATCCTCAGTTTCACCAATGATTAACTAGCCAAGGCTACCAGGAGGCTCTCGTCGGGCAAGGCTGCTAGGCCATCATGGATTCCCAATGAAGTAATTAAGAAATTCTCGTCACGTTTACCCATAGAAACTCTTCGGATCTTCAATGACTGTCTTAGTGCGTTGACATTCCCATGACTCTGGCATAGTGCCAGGCTCGTTCTGATCTGAAAGGGCCCGGACAAACCACTGGATGTACCATCCAGCTATAGGCTAATATGTATTCTGAACGTCTCCGGGAAGCTACTCGAAAGGCTCCTCCTCCAAAGGCTAGAATCTCATCTCGGCGCTCACATGGGGCGGAGGAGAGCTGGGAACCCATATGGATTTCGGAGAGGCGTTAGCTCTGAGACCGCAATTGAAAAAGTGTTGAGAATAGCGACTCAAGCGGTTTCTTGTACCAGTCGGAAGGACCTGTGCATCCTAGTAACGTTAGATGTTAGAAACGCGTTACGTTGGCCAGTTATCGACGAGGAGGATAAACACTCCCGAATACTTGGTCGAGATGCTGCGTTCATGGCTTACAGATTGGGTGTTGCTAACGGGGGAAGAACTTGCATCAAGGCAAATCATGTGCGGCGTTCTGCAGGGATCCGTCCTCGGTCTGGCATTGTGGAACGAGGTGTACGACTCATTCCTGAGATTGGACGTCTCTAGTGGAGTTCATCTCGTCGGCTTGCGGATGACCTAGCCGTGGTCTGTGCTGCAAGAACGGGATAGTTGTTAGAGGACGCAGTCAATTCAGTCCTTGATGCGATAGACACTTGGAAGTCGAGCAGGGGATTGGAGCTAGCGCATCACAAGAGTGAGGCCGTCATGTTGTCTAGGAGGTGGGCATACACCCTCCTCATATGTTGGCCGGAGGCCACCAGATCACGATTTCAAAAAAACTGATTTACCTCGGCGTGATACTGGACCAGCGGCTCACCTTCGCCGGCCATATTGACATGGCAGCGAAAAGGGCCTCCCCATCGGCTGCCGCACTGGCCGGGCTCAGGGCCGGGTCAGTGGAAAAGGCGGTTCCTCGGCTCGGTAGTGGAGAGCCAGCTGCTGTACGCCGCACCTGTATGGATCCGATCGGTAGCCTCGTCGGCTAGAACCAGGGCAAATCTCGTTCGTTCACAGAGGTCAGTTGCCCTTAGGGTGATACGGGCATATCGAACGGTGTCAGATGAGGCCACGCTGCTGGCCTTCATACCCCCAGCTGATCACCTTGACCTAGAGAGACTGAGAATCAAGGCCCGACTGTGCGCCCCAACATTCCTGGGGTTCCACTCCCCTCCAAAAACGGCGTGAAAACCGAAGAGTGGAAAGTCGCCATCACTCTGTGGTAAGCGAGATGGTCTGCCTTAACTAAAGCGGCGTGGACGTGACTGGCAATACCGGACGTAGTCAGGTGGCTCTGGAGAACCGTGCCAATGGTACCTCTGACATACACAAGCATTGACGGGTCACGGCTGCTCCAGTACTCTCTGCACCGAATGGGCAGGGCTGCTATCAATGCGACGGAGAGTCTGACACTGTCAATCACACCCTGTTCGAGTGCCCGTACTGGTCTTGACACAGGAGTGACTTAGAAGTGCGCCTCAGTCGCCGCCCGAGCCTTGCGGATCTACCTGACATCGACCGCTTTTCGATGGTCTCCCCGCAAACCCGGAGCACAAGGAAGCCATCCTACGAGATGCCTAGGAGATCTTTAGAGCATTCTATAAGATTGTTGAAGATGTTCTGACGATGAAAGAAGAGGAGGAGAGGGCGAGACAAGCGGCAGAGGTTAGGTAAAAGAAACCCCCGAAGAAGAGGAAGAACGTGGAGACAAGTCCACGCTGCACAGCAACCGTCGGAGGTGTCACCGGCCCACACTCCTTCTTCAGTTCTTCCTACACTCCTTTACACCACGGGTGGGTGGCGATCACGGCATCGCAGAACCACAGTACGTGACTCCAGGGTGGCGGCCACGAAATCATCAGTAGGGACTAGCAACGCCCTAACCGAATTTTGTTCTTTCTTTTTTCTGTTTGTTTTACTTGAATGTAAGCACCCTGAGCTCCGCTTCCAGGTGGACATTTACTTAGCGATACAGAAAGTCCATTTGGTAGTGGAGAGGGGCGCAACACAGTATGTTATTGGTATTTTATTTAATTGTATAATGTACGCAATAGACGATGGTGACCGTGGGAGAAGCAATGCTCAGCAGCAGTTCCTCCCTCGGTTCTCGATAACAAGGGAAAAAAGGCATAGATATCATTCCTCACAAATCTCTTTACATACAAAATTAACATCTCTATTGAACTCGTATCTCTTGTTAGTTTCAAATTCTCGTTACGAGTGACCTAATAATAATAATTATAGGTACTGTACATACTGCACCGTTTTTATTTTTATTCTTGATGACCTTAAAAAAAACTTCAGTATTTTATCACCTAGCGACGAGCACATTTATAAGCTAACAACAATTATGGGTATCATGTTTTAATACATTATTCAAACAGACGTTCACACGAGCTACGACACAAAATTAATTACACAGTCGGTTCGAGAACGCGAACGAATCCGATAATACACGTAGACATAAAAATACATATCTTGGTACAAATCACGTGAACGAATCCAATTACACACGACTGACATCATGGGCCGGAAGATATTAGGTTGCGACCCCATAGCCAGATTCGTGATACCCGGGAGTAATGACCCAATCGGAGAAGAATGCTGCAAGGTTACTAAATTTGATGTGGACCATACGGTCTTGGATTGTATGGACGGCGCGAAACCCCTCAAGAGTGTCCGGATGATGGGCTGCTTTTTAGAACCTCGCTCGGTCGAAGGGTACATAATGGACAAGAAAATTCTTGATTACACTAACTCAGGATCTAGGAGTCCAGGGCCCGCGGCTTACTGCGTGAAGACTACGATCGGACCACGAGCCACCGATCCGTCGATTGAAAAGAACCCCGCGTACTCATTCCCGGGTAAAAAATCCAAAAACGTAAGTGATGAATACCTCCGGCAAGATGTAATTATAAAACGAATAATATAATGATCTATACACAGCATACTAATATTAACTGCACGCTCCTCAAAAAAATTAATGAAACAAACAAATAACCATGTAATGTTCGATAGAAAGTTTAGCACTAAACGTTTTTTTAACAAAAAATAGTTTTTCGCGAGGTAAAACCTAACGTTGCAACGTGTCTTGGAATTTTGTGATAATTACTAGAATATGTCAACGGTTTATAGAGGAGAAAATTATTTGTGTTAAAATGTTTTTAAAAATTCGATAATTTAATTTACTAGTTTTTAATAATAAATTGAACATTTTTTTTTATAAATTACCGAAAAAAAATGATTTGATCTAGGGAACAAAAAATTGGCACAATTAGCAATATTAATAATCAGATATTAATAGATAATATTCTCCTTTAATTATCTATGCCAATTTAGTTATTTTGGTATTATTAAAACATCTAAATTCATTACAAATCACGGTTTTTTATCGTCCTCTTAATTGCTTTGGTTTTATATAGTCAATTTTTATGGAGTGTTGAGTAGAATTAACCACCATCCGTATTCATTAACATAACAAATATGATTTGATTGTGTAAATTTAATGTATTTTCCATTACAATTTTAAGAAGACGCTTTATACATGTGTTGTGTCCGTTTTAAAAAAGTAAAACATATGGCAACAACTGTTTTACCCGGGTAAAAGTTACTCGGGTCTCGGGCTGAAGTTAAAGCTAAGTAACCAAATGTTCACACTATAAAGAAGAGAATGTCAACTATGAATCGTTGTTTTCATTTTTTCGACATCAGACATAAAAAAAAAGTTATTCTGGTTTGTAAAACTCAAAAATAATGCATTTTTTAATAACTAGAACTTTTTTCGTATTTGTGGTATTGAAAAATTAAAATCAATATTTTCCCTTTTCTAGTGATAAAATTTGGTTGCTTAACTGGACCATAGCATGAGTGGCTCTTGCTCATGTGAAACAATTTTTGTTATGTTATACATTTGTAAGACGGAGACAATGTAGACTATGTAGTCACACATGAGGGTGTAGCATCCTCATATATTTTATCCTGCAACTTTGAAATATTTCCATTGCAGTTTTGACACATATTAACACAATTATATCCAATCTTAAAAAATAACTATATACTAATAACTATTTTTTTGTTTTCAACACAGTTGTGTGCGTTGGGCCCTGGACCAGCGTACAACACTATCGGACTGACTCGTGATGGTCGTCACCGAGTCCCGGGTGGGCCGTTTGGTATGCGTCCCTCTGGCTCCGGGTTGGCCTGCACCCCCAGCCCCGCCGAATACTGCATAAAGTCGGGGCTTTCGAATGCCGGCCATCGGATAGGGCCAAGGCCTGCAGCGCGGACCGGCGAGCGGTACTGCGGCCCGGCGCCGAACGCGTACTTGCCGTCGTGCAGGGACTGTGGGCTGAAAACGAGTCTTGGACAGCGGTTCAAGGCTCGCAAGGTGTGTCCAACGCCTGGTCCCGGCCAATACGAGCTACCACCGGCTGATCTGTACCTACCAGGTCGGTTCTCGACCGGCAGAACAATTGGCAAACGGTTGTTCCGGGGCTGTCCGCAAGTGACACCGGGCCCCGGTGCGTACGATGGAAAAGAACCGAAGTGCTGCACCAGGTTCTCGTTTGGAGCTAAGATAAAGGACACGGTGCCTGTGTTCAGTGTCACAGCTGACAACCAACACTTCCGATGTTAAACGCCGCCTGAACCAAAACACTTATCGTCTTGATTGATCATTACACAGCCATTATTACGATAGAAATAGATTGTTTTTTAAAAAAAAATACTACATTATACACCAAATTTTAACACTATTTAATAATTTGTTTCCTGAATATGTTAAATTTCTACCTGATAAAAATAGACGGTATTAAATTTAAGGAAAATATTTTAATTAACATTCAAAATTGTGCCAAGTATTCCGTCGAATTTGTACACAATTAATTTATATCATAGAAATCAAATTTAACACATCCATTACAGTGACTGTCTATGTACCAAATATATAGCAGAGCGTACTTACTCACCTTTTTTAAAAATTATAAATGTTCAACAATTCAGTAAGCATATTAATTACGCTCCAATTTAAATTTAAATGAACCTAGCGTCACATATGGACGGAGTTCCAAAATGATACAGCCCTACAGGTTTTAAAATTTAAAATTATATGCGCAATATTACAATAATATATTATGTTTCTATATTCATAGGTATATTATTGTCCAAGTGATCATTACTTCTTTAAGACTTATTAAATGTATTTTTTTTAAATTAACTTTTTATCTGAAGATGAGTCAAGTCATAGTATTTGTTAACTTAATTTAAACTTAATTGATGCATTTGAAATGTCTATTAATTTTGCTTTTAATTTAATTGCAAAAAAAAAATATTTAGCTTAACTGAGTAAAAAAATCATTAACTTGCCCAGCCTCGTATTTATGTAGGTACTTATAATGTGTTATTCAAATATTAGTAACGGTCGATGAATACATAATTAACTTATAAACTTTTTTCATGTTCTTTAATAACAATTTTGAAAGCAGCAACTATTATGTACGATCTAAGTCAGTTGGCCAAAACGCAAAAATTAATTTACTCAAACCCCGCCAGGTATAGGAATCATAGAAATGCGCGATATTGATGTTTACAAACTTAATACCATTAACGAGATATTTACTACATGATATATTACTGCCAAAACAGTTTTATCTGTCATGTGAACACTTAATCATGGAAAAAATTAGTGCTCCAAAGTTTCACATGGGTATGCACATATTATTTCTTCTTGTCATCGGCACTTTAAAAGGGTCGTTTTTCGACTTACCATAATGGTTTCACTTAATACATATGCACAAAGAAAAACTACAAAGAAGTGTTGAAGAAATTAAGATGTTCAATCAAGCGGAATTTTGACAAAGATCCACTGAGGATACCTATTAATTGTTTATATTATCATAATTATATAATGTTATATATTTATACTCAAAACCTCCCTAAATATTTTTCTGGCTACGGTATTGATGCAGTAGGTAGTAAGTACTTTTATACTACCTATACCTACCACATTTTTTATTATTGTTCGTATTATGCAGTACTTTTTTTGTTAGTTATTCATAAGCCACAATAGCACATGCTTATGGGATCGTGATAAAATGTAATTTTTTTTGTTGTTGTCTTAAAACCTAATTCTGTAAGTGGAAAATATGTTTTAGAAGGTTCTGATTATTTTAATGATATTTATTTAATGCATTCTTCTTCTTCTTTGGGGTTTGTCGGCCATCAGACCATTCCATCATCATCCAATTCTCCAGCCTTCCCTATCCAGCGCCCGTACTTTCTAATCCGGTCCTCCATTCAGTGCCTCCACGTTATTTTTTATCATATCCTTCCACCTCTACCGAGGTCTCTCCAGTGGTATTTTACCGACAGTAAAAGTTCCCATGTGGTATGTGTGAAAAGTCGTTCAACCAATACAGTAATTTGACGAAGTGTAGGGCGGATGCTACAGGTGAGAAAGCTGCAGTTCTCATGGAACTTGTGTGAAAAGTGTAGGTTTGACACCAGCAGCCGATTGATGGTACTCAGGAGAAAGGCTGATAGCACACTGACAAGATTTGAAATCTTAAATAGATGAATTAAATACTAGATTGTCATTGTTACATTATCATTATTCATTTTAATACAACTTTATAGTTTTAAGGTTAAATACAATTATATTTTTTTGTCTGCGTCAATGTAATATTATATGAACATAATGTAGGTATATGAATCGGTAAAGCGGGAGTGAAGCTACGAAGATTACACGGGTAATGTGTTTTATTTTATAATTGTTGTATACTTGCCTACATCAATAAAAGTGTCTTCGAAGAAAAATCTGTGTTTGATATTATTTCAGTTCCTTACGCTCCTATTAGTTATTACATCTTATTTTTTAAAAAGGGATAGTGCTGACGTCAGTGACGTAGCCAGGGGGGAAGCTGAGGGGGCTGCAGCCCCCCGAAATGTTAATAAAATAAAAAAATTATTTTAATGGTCTTTGGTATTCGATCAAAAACTAAACCACCTCTGTGTAAAAAATTGATCAGCCCCCCCGAAAAAAAATCCTGGCTACGCCATTGGCTGACGTACTTACAGCGAAAAAGGTTTTTTTTAAACCAAATAGTGGTACAGTATATGATATCCTGATCGTCATACTGATTTAAAAGGAACGAACGTAGAATCGGCGATCGTATATCAGCGAAGACCAGAATCCAACAAACATAAAAGCTCTAATCTAATTTATTTTAGAGAGTGTCAATAGTTTAGAGTTAACGAATATAAAGTGTCGTAGGTTTATGTGCGTGTCACTCTACAATACAGGTGATTCGACAAATAACACATTGATATTATAGTATAATTTATTATTATTAAAAAATTAATTTTATATTAAGGCCTGGTATTTAAATTTATTTATTAAATAGGTAAGTTAGGTGATGTATGTTTTTAATTGTTAAATATTACATAAATATTATTATGTTTAGTAGTTACTTTGTATTAGATTCTGAGCAAAGCTATAAATGTATTGATTTTTTTGAATTTTGTTTTGTGTCCGTCTACATGATACGTAGTTGAAATGATGTAAAAAATGAATTTAATTATGGATGTATAGTGTATATCGATAGATTTGTAGGTGTCAGCTGGTTTAAATAACAAAGCATGATTTGAAAAGACAAAACAACATTATTTTCAAACACACCTGATTCGTCTTTAAATTTACCCACTTAAAAATGTATTTTTCCATTTTAAATTTTAATATTATTAATATTTTAAAATTTATATTAATTTAAATTTAAATCTTAAACATTAATCGGTTTGGGATAAACATTTATTTATCGAAATGTATGGACAACTAAAAAAATGTAGAATCAACGTTTTTATAAAATTGTGTCATTAGTTGGGAATGATAATATTAAAATTTAATGAAAATATCAAATATTGAAATAATTTAATCAACATTTGAACTTTAGATACTTACAAAGAATATAAAGTATTTAAAAACTAACCCAAAGTATTGTCGTTACGTAAATTACATTATATTATTGTAATAAACAATTGTGTTAATATTTTAACAAATTATTTCTAACATACGTCAGTCCAGCGAAGTTGTATATGTTGAGGCGAAACTGAAACGCTACTATATAACTCCACCGCACGTTTAGGCACGTTCCTTTGTTTTCTTGAAACTCTGCGAGGTCGTAGGTGTGACGGTTGTGCCCGTGTGAGCTAAGTATAATAATTTATGTTTGATTTTAAATCAAATAATAGTGTTTCTCCTCGAATACTTTGTTCAAATACTATTTCAGTATTTTACGTTCTTGACTTTAAAAAGGCACAGTGTTGGGATATACATATCTACAGTCAATGAGGTTTATTTTAAATGAACAGTGCTATGGTAGTTCGGATTTAGAAGGAACGAACCGTGAATCGATAAACGTATACCATATAGTACCTCAACACAATTAAAAACTCTAATCTAATGTATTCTAGAGACAGTCATTAGCTCAGAGGTCTTAGCGCGTGTCACTCTTACGGGTTACTCTTAGGTAATAGTTATACCGGTACTGTTCTTTTATAGAATGAATAACGTACAACTACTGTCATAAAACTTAAACGCAGTTTTTGGTCGGAAACACTTTTATTGCTGCAAATCAAAGATTAAAATATTTTACCAGTAAAATGTACATAAGTAAGGATCGCTGAGGTGAGAATATTTTCAATTTCAACTGCAGTGATTATAAATCTCATAATCACAAAAAAAAAAAACAGGTACATTTAGAATGAAACTCTTAGTCCACACATTTTCTGTAATGACTGTACAACTGTGGTTTGTTGAAAAAATGTACAATGCGAAACATATATCAAACTTAGAAAAACTTATATTATTAATAGGTACAAGAAATTATATCAGCAATTTTGACGGATTCTGTCAAAATTCAAACTTTAAAAGCTTATGGAAAAATCCATGTCTATGTACCGTACCTATATTTAATATATTTTTATTAGCTTTAATAACAACTTATGGGGAACCTTGTAATAAAGTTCCAAGCTATATTTGAAAGAACTCAATTTTTTGTATCGATGTTTATAGAAAAAGAAATGTCAAATGTTTGTTCAAAAAATTCAAAATGTTTTGAAATCCATACCAGGTATAGAAAATGCTAATACTAACATTTATAACTATTATAAACAGAGCCTTTTATGGTAGGTACAAATGAATACCATGATACAAATGCTAGATAATATATCTCGATCCCAGTTATTAAGTTTTATAATGACTATCAATATCGTGGGCCAGCCAGTCAGATATTTGATTGGGAATTAATAAGACGTAAGAACAAAACTGTAGGTATAGCCTGTAATACCTACATTATACCTAATAATATCGAACACGTGCAGGAACAATTGAATAGCCGGACACATGCCACCGTAGCTATTATATTATTATGTGGACCGTAGACGAATATAATTGAAACCACTTAGCTATAAATTATATGATGATATTGTATTGCCTACCTATTATACGAAATGGTTTATTTCTCATTGACTAGACCGATTCAATAGCGCATAGAAACAACGACTAGAAATACCTCGACGTTCATTAGTATACAGACGAAAATATTTGTATTGTTAGATTAGGTAACTCGTAGAATGGTTAAAGAAAAAAAAACGACGATATCGATTAAAAATCGACCAACCGGTTGCTTAAAATATTCAGGAGATTAAAAAAAAAAAAAACCAAAAAAATTGTATGATGTTTAGTTATTGGAATAATCCGCCGTAATAGGCATTTCTAATAAAACAAAATAAATAACTCAAATTCTTATTGTCGACTTAATTTTGTTTTATTACCGACTGTTATTTTTGTTTCA